TCATGACCTGATCTGAAGATGGACGCTTAACTGACTAAGCCACCCAGGTGCCCCTTAATGTTTATTTATTTTGGGGGGAGGGCACAAGCAGAGGAGGGGCAAAGAGAGAGGGAGACAGAGAATCCCAAGCAGGCTCTGCACTACCAGTGTGGAGCTCGATGCAGGGCTCGAACTCACGACTGAGAGAGAGGGAGACACAGAATCTGAAGCAGACTCCAGGCTGAGCTGACAGCTCTAACCCATGAACCGAGAGATCATGACCTGAGCCAAAGTCGGATGCTCAACTGACTGAGCCACCCAGGTGCCCCTCTAGCCTTTTGTTTAAAAAATAAAAACAGGAGGGCACATGGATGGACCTGGAGGGTATTATGCTAAGTGAAGTCAGAGAAAGACATACCATATGATTTCATTTCTATGTGGAATCTAAAACAAAGAACAGCAGCAGACCCATAAATACGGAGAACTGACAGTTGCCGGCGGCGGGGGTGGGGGGAGAGGGTTGGGAGGTACAAGCTTCCAGTTACGGAAAGGGTTGGACACAGGGGTGAAACGTACAGCACGTGGAATACAGTCAGTGGTGTTGTAAGTGTTGTCTGGTGACAGATGTGGTGAGTGTAGCGTGAGCAGCACAGTGGGGTTCGACTACTAGAATTGTCTCACTTGTCAAAATGGACCAAAGCAGGGCCATGTTCTAGACATCAGTTTTATACAATTCTCCTTTAAGAACTAGGCCAGGGGCGCCTGGGTGGCTCAGTCGGTTGGGCGGCCGACTTCGGCTCAGGTCATGATCTCACGGTCTGTGAGTTCGAGCCCCGCGTCGGGCTCTGTGCTGACGGCTCAGAGCCTGGAGCCTGTTTCAGATTCTGTGTCTCCCTCTCTCTCTGACCTTCCCCCATTCATGCTCTGTCTCTCTCTGTCTCAAAAATGAATAAACGTTAAAAAAAAAATTAAAAAAAAATAAAATAAAATAAGAACTAGGCCAAATATAAGACTTGATAATTCACTTACGGTTTCCTAGCTCTCCATCAACTTCTATGTGCATGTGCTTGCATTCCTGAAACTCTTCAGCAACCAGATCACTGGTGGAGTGAATTTTCTAGTTCCTTCCACAAAGTTGCGATGGGCTCGATTAGATGCAGTCCTCCCACGCATGAAGCCCCCTCCACAGGCAACAAACAGGGCTGGGCAGGACCATCCGAAACCACCGAAACCATCAACTGTGAATCCAGAGTTGGAGATCAAATATTTAAGAACTTAAATAGAGGAAATACAGGAAACCCTGCAGAGAAAAGGTCCAAGATCTACGCACCCAATGTTTACTGACCTGCTGAAGGCCACTGGCCACCTAGGATTCTAGCAACTCTTGAGCACATCTAGACACCCACGAGCACCCTGTCCTACCGATGGTTTCACTCGATGAAGGCCAAGCGAAACCACGGTTCACTTCGTTGAACCTTGTTTAGGTTTAAGACAAGGAGACTGAACCAACCAGAGGCAAAGTGATATTCCCATGCTCCATTTTTGAGAGTTTTTTCAATCTGTTGGTTTTCCATGTGGACCCCGGGATGTTTAAAAATTGCATTGCTTATGGGGCACGTGGGTGGCTCTCTCAGTTGAGCGTCTGATATTGGCCCAAATCATGATCCCCACGGCTTGGGAGTTCAAGCCCCACGTCAGGCTGTGTGCTGACAGCTCGGAGCCTGGAGCCTGCTTCGGATTCTGTCTCCGTCTCTCTCTGCCCCTTCCCTGCTCACTCTCTCTCTCTCAAAAACAAACACTAAAAAATTTTTTCAAATCACATCACTCATATGCAGGCATTTAATGAGAAAAGCTACAAATTACTGTTGAAACTAAGTTATATGGTCTATGTAACCACGACTTCATCTAGAGAAAAAGGGTGCTGAGTGTGGGAAATGAAAAACTCAAGGCGGTAGATCAATCTCTCTCTGTCTACACACACACACACACACACACACACACACACACACACACACGCACACACACAAGACATTTAAGTATCTGAAGCATCATTATCTATGCTTGCTTTATTACTTCTGAAAATAAAAAAAAGTATAGTATCATATAGCTATTCTGGTCTCTCTTTACAGAGCAAGACTGTAAAACTTAGAATTCCCATGGAACTCTTTTAAAGGCAACACTAAATTCAGACGGAAACTGCAGTCTCATACATCTAAAATCAGAACAACTTAAAACACTCGTGTTTATTCATCATAAGGCATGCAGAACTTGGAGACTACAATATACTAAGTGATTTAAAAAACATTCAGCCAAAAAGTACATATTGCTTACACAATATTTCAGTTTCTCCTCCTGGACAGAATTACAGTAAATGTTTCAACACAGCCTGTGCAAACAACAAGCGAGGCTTTGATATTCCTTGGCAAGTGACGCCTGTCGCCTCGAGGAGTAACTGACCTCACCAGGGCCCAGCCTCTCCAGGCTGTATGAAAAAATTCTGTGTATTTTCACAAGCTGTATTTTTGGATGCAACTGCACCGTAGGATTTAAAGAAAATAAATCACTGCACCAAGATCAGTGTGAAGTGTTAAAGTGCTACCAGGAAGCCAAATTATTGTCTGCGTGTTAACTATTCACCAAATTTGAAGGTATTTACACAGATTTTGCTAAGCCAAATATTCAATCACTTGATCCTTCAAGGACATTTCAAAACACTTGGGTTGGTTTGGGTTTTGCTGGCCCCAGATGGCAATAATCAGAGTGGGCATAATTTGGGAGAAAAATTCCTTTAAAAGCATATTGTGAAAGCAGCTCCTTCCTTCCTTCCTTCTCCTCTCCCGGCCCTCTGCGACACCCCTTTACATCTAACCTCCCCGCACTCGGCCACTTGGGGTGCCTGTTACAGATTCCCTGGTCCACCAGAATCCGGACTCTGCCGGTCAGGGGCAGGGCGTGTGACAAGCATCCCCAAGTGATCTTAAAGCAGGTCATCTGGAATGTTCTCTGGGAAACCCCACCTTTTACCAGTCCTTCCTCCTTGAGATCACGTGAATTACACGGACCTCCTTGTCCCCAGCATTTTTTCTAAACGTGAATCTTCACGAAGATCTCCTCAGGTGCATAATCCGCTTAGCTCGCTTCCTCTCAGTAGGCCCGCCACCAAGGAAATCATCAGCATTCAAGGCATGATCAACATTAAAAAGAATTCAGATTTAGTCATCACTGGTGTTGTCAAAAAAAAAAAAAAAAAAAAAAAAAAAAAAAAAAAAAAAAAAGCTCAACAGCATGTTCACCTTACTCAGAGGTTTCCAACACATTTTATTTTGCAGACCACTGGTTTGTAGCTTTTGGGGACCAACATCTGTATAAATGCCTACAAAACGTCCCATCAATGTCAGTTCCGGAGCGGCCCCTGGGGTCCCGCACACCCGCACGTATGGCTTGAGTTCCAGTCATGCCCACGCAGCGGCCGCCCTCTGGCTCCTGGTGGAGGGCGCATCCGCAGTGAGGCCTCTTCCGGGGGCGTCCTCTCCCGAGGGCTGGTTTCCTTTGGCAAGAGGAGGGTCTGTTCTCACGGCTTTGGTGCCTGCAAGCAGGAGGCATTCAGAAACTCGCAGGGACGGGGGTGCTTTATTCTCTTAGGCAGACACTTGAGCCACCGGAGCACTCGTGTGCTTAATGACAGCGATCCCCTCCTTACTGTTTGGTGGGTTAAGACAGAAGGAAGCCTCTGTTTTTAAGTAACACAGAGAAACACCTTTTTGGATCGCCTATTTGTTCTAGAACTACAAAATTTAATTCAAGAAAATATAGGTCCCGTGAAAGACTTAAAAGTTTTATAAAACTAAAATCTAGTTTTCCCCGATAAATTGTACTTTTAGCCAAAACCCTCCCAACGCTTCTAAAATAATACTAAAGGGGGCATCTGATTATACAAGAGCATTAAAAAAAAAATTAAATATTTATTTGAATAACAAGTTTAAGTTCGAGCTGCGATGTTGGCAATGCAGATTTTTAACACAGATCACAAAAAGCGTGCACAAAAATGGACTGGCACCAAGGACAAAATAATGCTGAGAATTAGGCTAAATAACTGATTTTAAGAAAACAAGAGGCCTGAATCACTATACAAAATATAAAATGTATTAAACACTACCATCCACAGAACAGTCTTTATTATGGATTATATTTAAAAATTATTTGTGTAGTTACTTATATATTGAATTGTAAATGAGTATTATACACGAACCCCCTTTCGGGGGGCAATTCCTTGTTGCACTATAGAACATCTAGTTACATCGCAAAAAGTATCTTTTGCTGTCAATAAAAGAAAACAGTTAATGGTATTACTGCAAATATTAGGAAGGCTACAAAAAAAGAAATTAGATTTCTTTCTTGTCTTCAAAGTGCTTTCCATGCAGAGTTCAGCACTTGCCTCGTTTAACTGAATGCGCTAGTGGGAAAATGTCCTGGGTCAAAGAGATGTTCTCGAATGAGGACACCGGGCTTTACAAAGGAAAGACTGGAAGGAATCACGTGACCCTCTCACTACCGGGCTACCGTTGTGTCACTTACCAATTCCATCTTTCCAGAATCCCATTCAAGACACTTTAAAAAAAGACCAGACCGGGAACGATAAATACACACAAAATGAAAAGACACCAACTGCTATCTGACCCCACGACTGGTAATGTCTGTGCTACGTGAAAGCACCTTTAAAAAGAGCCTATGCGGCAAGAGATAAGTGTCTAAAGATTCAAAATGAATCAACAGTATTGGATAACAATATAATTCTCAACTCAGAAGCTGCCTCAAGATTAGGTGCATCTTCAGTTAATGTAACAGGAAAAAAAGGCAATGGATTTTATTTTATTAATTGCATCCACTCACAAATCGACCTAAGGTCACCAGATGTGTAGACACAATGAGATTTTTGTTGTTGTTTATAGTCTTTAATTGAAATGATGAAAAAGGAAATAGATCTATTTAAAAACAAAACCAAATAGCTAGTTGGGTCTAGATTAAGAGGTGGCCCCCGGGGTGGGGTTCACGTTCTGAGTGGCCACCTGTGGTGCGACTTCGATGATCCGGGGCTTGTCTATGATTCTGGCTGTGCGGTTGCCCTTCTCTACGATCCCAATAATCCATGCTTGGTGACCTTCCCCGTATTTGGGAGACTTTATCTCTGCACAGAATCGAGCAGCTTGCTCTCTCGGTAAACAGATTAGGAGGCCTCCTGGCAAAGGGAAAAAAAGAAAATTATCGTCAGCTGGGATTCCTGGTGAGCAGTTTCTCTGCTACGGCCTTTCCACCTCGCTTCCGCCCAGATGGCCGTTCGGCCAACAACTCTTTTCTGTCTCTACAAGAGCTGCCCCTTCCAGTCAATTGAGAATCCCACAGATTAAACTGCAGAGCAATTAGCGACTTCTTGGTAAGCTACTATGTTAAAAAGCACACAACAAATTTTATTTAAACAATGAAAATGAGCTAGGTGTGACTCATTTAACAGGAGTAAGGTGTCTAAGGCCTCAATAACATACGTGGGAGCTACTTTTTTCTTGCTTCACTGAAAGAAATACTTAAAACCGAAAGAGAACTTTCCCTTTTTGACTTATCTACGTGGATTCCTCAGTTTATAAAAAGGGTTTTTTTATATACTTTTTTTTTAACTTAAAACTTAAGATCATGAAGAGGTGTAGGCCTCAGAGTATCTGGCTCTGTCCTCTTCAAAACAGAAAAAACATAAAATATGTTACAAAAACCTTCATCAAATATAGGTCAGTAGCTCAGACAGAAAATTTTATGCATTTGTAAGTGGAACTAACACAACCAGGAAAAAATATGTATCTATACTTTTGCAAAAAAGTAAAAACTTCTCAATTTTGAATGAAGGAAACAAATGGAATTTGCCAGTAATATTCATTAATTCACTCAACACTTACTCCAGGCCCACCAGGTGGCATCAGTGGCCCACCGGGTGGCAGGCACCATTCTGGGCAGACACTGAACCAACAGCTCAGTTGTCCTCTTAGAATTTTTTTCTAGAAAGCGGATTTAAGTTTTTTGCTGTTTTTTTAAGGACAGGAAATTGAAGGGTCCTCTACAGAGGCTGTGGGAGGCCTACCAGCGAATTGCAAGCCCTCTTACAGAGCGGACTTGGGGCAGGGCTTTGGGGTCCTTGCCTCCGGCGGCACCCCAGAATCCTCTGGGCTAATCAGGCTTCCTGGGGGTCAGGTCTAACCACTGGTATTTTTTTGTTTTTTAAGTTTTTGTTTATTTATTTTGAGAAAGAGAGAGAGGAGCAAACAGAGGGAAGGGGGGGGAGAGAGGGGGAGAGAGGGGGAGGGAGGGAGGGAGGGAGGGAGAGAGAGAGAGAGAGAGAGAGAGAGAGAGGGAGAGGGAGAGAGAGGGAGAGAGAGAATCTCAAGCAGGCTCCACACTGTCAGTGCAGAGGCTGATGTGGGGCTCAAACCCATGAATTTTGTAAGATCACAACCTGAGCCAAAACTGAGTCAGATGCTTAACTGAACACCCCCGGGACCCGTACACACGGGTATTTTTAAATCCCCAGATGATCTGACCCTGTTGTCAGAGTAACTCCTGAGTTAGCAAGAAGATAGAAATAACAAAAGCCGAAAAAAGACAGAGAATATATGGGGATGAAACACAAGAGTCAAGTTAAGGGGCACTGTGGAGACACAATATACTATCTCATTCCCGAAATTGCAATTTTAGACTTTTTCTTCAAGGAAAAAACATAACCTGTTCACTGTAACCTATAGGTATCACAGTTAATTCAAATGCTAAGTTTCCAATGAAAGCTGAGTAATGACTCCTTTTCCCCATATTCTCCCTTCCTTCCATCCTGTCACCAAACAGAAACACTGAAATTTAACACTGCTCTCTATCACACACAGAATGGCAGGGCACCCGTGGGGCCTGAGAACATTCGTGCTAAGAAGGCCAAGGTTATCTACCAGCACTGACCTCACACAGTTTGGGGTCATGCTCAAGTACCTGGCTGCTTCCTTGTCAGAGAAATTTCCATTAGCCTCACTAGCTTAGTCCTCAGATCTGGGCCCAGGATCCTTGTACCTGATGTCTCCGGGCAGGTCCCATGCATGAGGCCGAACATGTTTCCACAGGCCTTGCTCACGGCAGCCATCTTGGCCAGGACGGGAAGGTTGTGAATCACAAAGGACACCTCGTTCCTCTGCTGCTTGGCCAGGTTCTGCGCGTGGCCCAAAATTCCAAAGCCCGTGATGTCAGTGGCAGCGTGGGCGTTGAACGTGTGCATGAGACCTGCAGCTAAGAGAGGACAGAGGACCCATTTATTACCTGGTGAAATAAATGAAGACTGAGGAGAAAAAAACCCACCTCATCTCAAAATTTTAAACAAACTTTGATCTCAAAATTCCTAATTCATCAGGGCAATGACATACTGGGATAATGAAAAAGTAATTTGCCAAAAACACCCATTTTTTAAAAAATGCTTGTTTATTTTTGAAAGGGAGGGAGACGGAGAATCCGTAGCAGGCTCCAGGCTCTGGGCAGTCAGCACAGAGCCTGACATAGGGCTCGACCTCACAGACTGGGAGATCATGACCTGAGCCAAAGTCGGACACTCAACCGACTGAGCCCCCCAGGTGCCCCTGAGAGGTGATTTCTTATTCTACTTGAACCATTTAGAACTATCAGCAGCTTCAGTCTGCAGTAATTCTCCAGTGAACAAAAAAAGAATTGCTAGCTCAACAAAAGGTAAACCAGCCTACACCATCCTCAAGTCAACAAGACTTTTTAAGACGGACCTAAATTCAAAGCATTCTCACTCTAAGTGCGTTGCCTAAACTAAGGTTAATTTTTGAATTAAAAAAAAAAAGTTTCAAAGTACTTATAGGTTTGGAGAAAAGTGAGCAGAAAGTACAGGAGTTTCCTATATACTCCCTGCCCCCCTTCTCTTATTAACATCTAGCATTGGTGATACATTTGATACATGTGATGAGCTGTTACTGACACATTATTATTAACTGAAGTTCATTCACCTTGGGGCTCACTCTTGATGTTGTAGTGGATGTGTTCACACATGTATGACATGCATCCATCATCAGTATCACACAGAGTAGTTTCACTGCCCTAAAAATCCCGTGCTCCACCTGTTCATCCCACCCCTACCCCCAGCTCCTGACAACCACTGCTCTTTTTACCGGCTCCATAGTTTTGCTTTTTCCAGAATGCCAGATTTGGAATCGTAAGAGTATCTGGTCTTTTCAGATGGTCTTCTCACTCAGAAATATGCTTTTGAGTTTCCACCATGCCTTTTATGGCTTGATAGCTCATTTTATATTTTAAAAATGTTTATTTATTTTGAGAGAGAGAGGGAGCATGAGCAGAGGAGGAACAGACGAGAGAGAATCCCAAGCAGGCTCCACGCTGTCAACACAAAGCCTCATGCGGGGCTCGATCCCACAAACCGTGAGATCATGACCTGAGCCGGAATCAAGAGTTGGATGCTCAACTGACTGAGTTGATTTTTATAAGAAGATCTGTGTCTAGGTTCACTTCCTGCCTGTAAATGTCCAGCCGTTCCAGTACGTTCTGTTGAAAAGATGATCCTTTCTCCACTGAATTGTCCCTTCTCCTTTGTCAAAGATCAAACAATATATGTGTGGGCCCATTTCTGGCCTCTGCCTTCTGTCCCACTGATGTCCTCGTCCACCATTACCGGCATCACACTGCAGTGACCACTGTAATTACACCGTCTTGAAGCTGGGTGGTGTCAGTCCTCCAAATGCTCCCCTTCAGCACTGTGTCGGCTGTCCCCGGGGTCTTCTGCTCTTCCATCCAAACTCAGAATCGGTTTGTCAATATCCACAAACTAACTGGCTAGGATTATGAATGGGACTGCATTGCACTGAGTTCCATTCACACATCAAGTTGGGAAGGCCTGACACCTTGATGATACTGAGTCTTTCTATCTCTGTACCTGGAGCACTTCTCCATTTCTTTTGTATCTTCTTTGACTTCTGTCATCAGTTTTATAGTTTTCCTCATACACAGCGTGCACGTCCTTTGTTAGATTCATACTGAAGTAGTTCATTTGGGGGGGGGGGAGTAACTGAAAGTCTAATTTTTAAAAGTTAAATGCTTCTCATGAAATGAAATACACTCCATGTTTACAGGAGCACTCTGGAGTGAATGTGTTTTTTGGTACATTTTCTTTTTAGACAAAGATCTCTTTTACCTAAGCGCATTCGCAACAACAGAGGTGGAGAGAATTTCTAGTCCATCACGGTGGTTAAGCAACTAGACATCCATTCTATTAACACGCCTGGGCAGGGCAGGGCAGCAGGCAGCCAATGACATTTAATATAAGCAAAGACATGCAGTTTAGCAGCTCTTCCCAGTGCCATCTTGGATGAGCTTAGAGGACACAGTGAACCCCAGTCAGTAATCAGGGTTCCATTTTTACTGATCACCATTTTGTCCCTGCACAGGGAATTACTGTTGCGAATTTTACTATGGGAATTTTAATGAATCACAATGAACTCCTTCCTGTGCAGCCAACAAAACCCAGCTTCAACCACTACCACCTTTCTGCTGGGGTCTTACCTATTCCTGCCTACTCGTTGGGGGATATGGGTGGGGTGGGTAACTTTAAAGCAAACCCCAGTCATATTACCTCACCTGTAAACATTTCAGTATGCAATTCTAAAAGATCAAAAAAAAAGGGGGTGCCCTGGCTGGCTCAGTAGGTTACACATCTCTGACTCCCGATTTCTGCTCAAGTCACAATCTCAGTTTGTGGGATTAAGCCCTGCACTGGGCTCTGCGCTGATAGCGTGGAGCCTGCTTGGGATCCTCTCAGGCCTTGCTCTGCCCTTCGCCTACTCATGCTCCCTCTCTCCCTCCCAAAAAAATAAATGTTAACAATTTTTTAAAAACATAAATAAAAGGTTTTAAAAAATTTAACTACAATACCATTATCATTCCAACACAATATTGCACGTTAACAGATTTCTCCTAAACCTCTTAATTTTTAAGAGTTTCCTCTTTTTCTCCCCCATGCCATTTGTTTGTTGTGGAGACAGAGTCACTTTTTCTGTGGAAGTTCCTGCATTCTGGATTTGGCTGTCTTCCCTGATGATGACAGGTTCTACCAAACTGGCAGCCAGGTCCAAGGCATGATGAGATTCAAGTTCAGTTTCTCTGATGGGGGGGTGGGGGGCATTTATCACCTCCCCACAAACCTTTCACCTAATGGTTTTTAGCAGCCACTGATGTTTGTTGAGGTTCGTTAAATCAAGGGCGCAGCAAAAATGGCAAATGTGTGATTCATTCTTCCAGGATTTATTAGATGTGACTCTTCTAAAGAAATTTAAAAAACAATTAATTTGGATTTCCCCAAATACCACCCGTATAAGAAAGGTAAAATGTGTGACTGAATCCTTTATTTTCATAATGCATGGTTGGTGCTCTAGCAACTTCCAAAGGTGGACAAGAAGTTTCAACTCTCATTATGATTTCCTTGGTTTTCAGACGCTTGACATGCTTCAGCTGACTCCAGTCACTCTTCCTTTTGATATTCAAACTGCCCCCTTTCCAGTCTGACTGGTGGGGTCAGCTCTTCCACCAGTTCTGGTGCAGTGACAGGACCCCATTAGCTATTGGGGGCTCCATTACTTTCAGGCACAGGAGGTCCCGAGCTTATCTTCTGCATTTCCTTTCCCAGAGTTGAAATCAGTCATTTCCCCAAGGAGTCCTGGCACTTTTTCATGGGAAATGTTAATTTTCAGATCACAATCTGGGCACTAGGAGTTCATTACTATTGGGTTATCACTGCTCCTAGGCCTTTTCAATTGGCTTGGAAATAAGTATTTTTAGGGGAAAAAAAACAACATCCTGAGTTCATACTGTTAATTCCAAAGTAAAGATTATAGTTTATTTTTAATGTTTATTTATTTTGAGAGAGAGAGAGAGAGAACACAAACTAGTGGGGGAGGGGCCGAGAAAGAGGGAGAGAGAATCCCAAGCAGGATCTGCGCTGTCAGCACAGAGCCTGACACGGGGCTCGAACTCACAAACTGTGAGATCATGACCTGAGCCAAATCAAGTTGAACGCTTAACTGACTGAGCCACCAGGTGCCCCAAGATTATGGTTTATAACTCTGCTTCTTTGGTCTTATTTCTTTTTATTCTTAAAATTTGTTCCCAACTATACTTACTTATTTTATCATACTATACCAGTATTTTCATCAACACAAACCCACTGAATACAATGACATATCTTTGTGGGTTTTTGTCCTGAGGCTGTACATTGAAAATACCAGGCTCAGACTGATTTGAAATAATTCTTCCCCACGCAGTTTTGAGACTCCTTAACTTGATATATATTAGGCAAATTTTTTTCAATGTTTTTAATGTTTGTTTATCTTTGAGAGAGAGACAGAGCGTGAGTGGGGGAGGGGCAGAGAGAGAGACAGAGAGAGAGAGAGAGAGAGAGACACACACACAGAATCCGAAGGAGGCTCCAGGCTCCGAGCTGTCAGCACAGAACCCGATGCGGAGCTCAAACCCACGAACCGTGAGATCATGACCTGAGCCGAAGCTGGACGCCCAACTGACAGAGCCACCCAGGCGCTCCTCTATCAGACAAGTCAAAAAAAGTGGTAGTTTCCAAGAATAAAGACCTTTCAGTGCTTTTAGTGGCTGTACAGTATTCCATGGTAAGCACACAGACTACATCACTCAGTAACCTACTGATGGACATTTGGGTTGTTTCCTCCATTAGAAATTGCAAACGGGCTTCAACGAATAATAGCCTCGCACACACGTCATTCCATAGGTCACAGAGGCAAGACCACGGAGTCAAAATAAATGTACATGTAATTTTGCTAGATATGACCAAATGCTCCTCCATAAGCTTCTGCCATATTGTATTCCTCCCAACAATGTACAAAAAGTAAGGACTGGGAATCTTAAATGCTCAAATACAAGCAAACTGAAAAAGCATACAAATAAAAATCTGTAAAAATCACTTTCTTACTGTTTTATGACTTAATTTGAAGGACCAAAAAAGAAAAAAGAAAAAAGGAGAAAGACTCCTTAAACAGTTTGACACATGAACAGAGAAACACAAACGAAAAGTCTTGGTCGTAAGTGAGGAGAGCAACTGAGGACAAAGAATTAAATAATTACAATTTGACTTTGGAATAGAGCCAAAGAAATATTCCTGGAACACAGACAACTAACTATGGAAAAATTTGACCCCCCCCCCCACTCCCCGCAAATTCACGAGTGGGCAAAAGGTAAATTAATTATATTTCTGGTAGATCATCCAAGGCATTAAAAATTATGTGTTCTATGATGAGATAATGTGGGAAAAAAAGAATTCAGTAATGTTAAGTAAATAAAAACACATTCCAAATACAAGTAAAATGTATGACAACCACTAGTTGAAAACATGAACAATAAAATAGTAAACCACCAACCAATGATAGAAAAAAACCCTGCAAGAAAACAAATATATTAACAGAAGCTGTCTTGGGTGGTGGGACCAGGGACGATGTTTCTTCTCTCCTTTTTTCATTTTCTAAAAACTTCTATAATGAGCATATCTTTTTTTTATAGTAAAAAATACATATAAAATAAATGGAAAAATATATTACAGAAAAAATTTAAATGTGGCAGGTCATTATAAACCGTGGTGTACAAGCACCCTCAGAAGCTACGAGCACCATCTAGAAACGCCGAGGCAGCACTGACCTCTTACACGTATGGACCAGAAGCCCGGGCCGAGGAAGTTCTCTGCAGGAACCCGAATGCCCACTAGCAGCAGTCAGGGTAAGTCAGCGACAGAATGGACAATTGTACAGCAATGAAAATGAATTAAGTACAACTACATACACCAGGAATAACACTCAGGAGTGTTAAATGTGCACAAGACAGCAAGAAAAAGAAAACAGGTATGATTCAGTGAAGCAAAAAATTAAAAAAACCCAACTAACTGCTTAAAGATACAAGTCTTTGTGATAAAAAGATTTTAAAATACATGAAGGGGTGCCTGGGTGGCTCAGTCAGTTGGGCACCTGACTCTTGATTTTGATCATGATCCCAGGGTTGTGGGATTTAGCCCTGAGACGGGCTCTGTACTGAGCATGAAGCCTGCTTAAGATTCTCTCTCCCTCTCTTGCTCTAAGATTAATAATAATAATAAGAAGAAAAGCAAAATACATGAGAATAAACATGGGACTCAGAGCAGGAGCTGCTCCTACACAGGAATCTAGGAGCAGAGTGTGGGAGGGACACCTCTGGGCTTCCAAGACCACGTTGTTTCTTGTACGAGACGGTGGGCACATGGGTGTTGTTCTCTTAAGCCCTGCACATATTTCATAGAATTCTTTTGCATCAACTGGACATCTCATAAAATTTTTTTTAATGTTTATTTTTGATAGAAAGCCTGTGTGTGTGTGTGTGTGTGTGTGAGTGTGTGAGAGAGCGTGCGCACACACGCGCATGAACGAAGTAGGGGCAGAGATCAGAAGGACAGAGAGGATCTGACGCAGGCTCTGTGCTGACAGCTAAGAGCCTGATGTGGGGCTCAAACTCACTAACTGCGAGATCATGAACTGAGCCAAAGTCAGACGCTCAATCCACTGAGCCACCCAGGTGCCCCAACATCTCATAAAAAATTGTAATTTAAGGAAGGGGAGAATGGCAAATGTTGGAAAAAAATAATCTGTTTTCACAGTTTTGTAAGTTAGATTATTTATTTAAATAGTTATTTTTGAGGGGGGGGGAGGGAGAGAGAGAGAGGGAGAGAGAGAGAATGAGCAGGGAAGGGGCAGAGAGAGGGAGGGGGACAGAGGATCCAAAGCGGACTGTGAGCTGTCAGCACAGAGCCCGATGCAGGGCTCAGACTCACGAACTGTGAGATAATGACCTGAGCCAAAGTTGGATGTTCAACCAACTGAGCCACCCAGACACCCAAGTTTATCAATTTTTAAGACAGAGAGAAAGGGAGAGTGCGCCCACGCATGCGAGCTGGGGAGGGGCAGAGAGAGAATCCCAAATGCAGGCTCCATTTCAGGAACCGTGAGATCATGACCTGGGCCGAAATCAAGAGTTGGACACTTAACTGGTTGAGCCACTCAGGCGCCCCATATTGTCACACTGTGAAGTGATTCAGAGTGTCGGAAAAGCTCTTTTAAGATCCCCTGGTCAGCCCTACCATTTCTTCTTTTTTCAATAACTGAAGAGTTCATTGGCTTAAGTATCATATCCGTTTGGTGCAGTCATTTGGGGGAAACTGAAGGATTGAGGGGAGAGGACAAAGAAAGTACGTTCAAATCTGTTTCTGACTGCTTGCTCAGGGAACTTGAAGAACCGAATGAAGAGTGACTTTTGTAAAGAAAAGGTTTTTCAATTTCATCTTCCAAGTTCCCGGACAGGACGCCCCACGACCCACGTCCTTACAGCGTGCAATTAACGAGGAGAAAGACACCGGTATTTCCAGAAAAAAACCGTATAAATTTCTTTCACTGCCTTACGTTGATGGAATCTGTGGTACTGGAGAAAGAGCACTTTTGGAGACAGACAGATTTGGGTTTGGGAACAGCATCTGCCTGTACTTACGTACTTCCTTTCGGCCAAAGGGGAGAAATAGGATCCAATTCACAGAATTATGAAAAGGAAAATATCCGTGAAGTACCAAAAAGAAAGCTAGCAGGTGGCAAAGTTAGCTCATTCGATGGAACGAGTGCCCACAGTGTGCCCCGCGTTCTTCTCCGCGCTGGGGACACCACGGCAAACAAAACAAACAAAACTCTCTGCCCTCTTGGGGCTGACGTTCTAAATGCTGGTTTGCTTCCAAATCATCTGCACAGATGCTTTTCTAGAAACAGTTCCTCTGGCACATCAGAGGTTAGGACTTCAAAGACTCACGAGAAGAGCTTCCTTCTTAATTATGCAATATGCCTGGTGTTTTCTATCTGCATATGAAAGGCAGGAAAAGGGGAGAATATGATGCTTCAACTCTATGAGAAGTAATTCCCTCAGCAAGCCTTGCTGCTTTCAGGAAGGAGAATTCTGCTTCTGGAACTTTCCTGGTTTATTTTATTAATTTTTTTTCTTTTTTCTTTTTTTTTTTTTTACCATTTATTTATTTTTGAGAGACAAAGAGAGACAAGAGACAGAGCATGAGCAGAAGGGGCAGAGAGAGAGAGAGAGAGCAGACAGACAGACAGACAGACAGACAGAATCCAAAGCAGGCTCCAGGCTCTGAGCTGTCAGCACAGAGCCCGACACGGGGCTCGAACCCAAGAACTGCGAGATCATGACCTGAGCCAAAGTCGGACACTTAACCAACTGAGCCACCCAGGTGCCCCTTTCCTATTTTATTTTAATCTGCTTTTAAAACTTAGTACCAAAACATTCACTCAATTACCATGCATAGAGACTGTGAAATAGCCTCAATTTCTTACTAAATTGTTCAGAAAGGAATAGACCATAATACTACAAGCATTACAAGCAGTAGTTTCAAATCCTAGGTCCCCACTGATTAGCTGTGTGACCCTGAATGAGTTGGTAGCTACCTTGTAAGGTTGTCCTAAAAATTAAACAGGAAAGTAGGTCAAGTTCCTGATACACAATAATTACTAAATAAATGGTAACCGCTATTATTACATTTTATCAGTATTAGGAAGCTAGATGAGAAATAAAATGTAGAGGAAAAAATTATGACATGTCTATTCCTTTATACACACAAATGTGGGAATCAACAATGAGAACACCTCGAAATAATAATACTTGTTTTTTTTTAGAGAGCGAGAGTGCAAGCGTGAGCAGGGGAAAGGGGCAGCGGGAGAGACAGAGACAATCTTAAGCAGGCCCCACGCTCGGTGTGGAGCCAGACACGGGGCTTGACCCCACGACCCCGGGATCATGACCTGAGCCACAGTCGAGTCAGACACTCAACAGTCGGAGCCGCTCAGGCGCCCCACTAAGCCAAATACTTTCGAAAGTATGCTATATAAATTTCACTTCCATTTAATCGGGGCGCAGAGGAAGTCAACACTGCCCATAATCACAGAAATTTAGAACTAGAAGGAACAGAGAGAAAACAGAACTTCAACTCTTCTCTGCGCCTGGCACCGCTGTCACTGTGGGGGGATCTAAGCAAGAGGGGGACAGAGGTGCTGACAGGGCCATGGCGCCCCGGACCCCAGGCGCACAGAGGAAAGTGTGCTGGAGGAAAAGCTTTTCGCGCCCTCACACCCTCGTCCGATGCAATGTTTCGCCCAGCCCTCGGTCATCCGTTTTCTCGAATACAAGTCACGTTTAAAATGCGTTTCTGTCAGGAACGCACAGAGTATCTGGATTCCTACTACTGACCTATGACCCCAAACCAGGGACACACAGACGGGCCTGCAGTACTGGCCGAGACCGTACGTGGCCCACAGAGCCTACACTGTCTCCCTTCTGGCCGATCCCGCCCCTTACCTGTTCTGTTGAGCCTGGCCATGTTCATCATTGCCTCCTGGTATGCCAACTCGACATCTTCTTGGGTGACCACCAGCTTGATCTTATTCCATTTTTCAGGCTAATGACGGGAACAGAGGTTAGGAGGAAAAGAGAGGGAAAAAATGTGATTAATCTTCTAACCACTGAAGAAGAGTGTATTTTTCCCTTTGTCACCTTCTGGCGGTTTCCCCGACCTAAATTTGTACACAAAGGTAAGTTTTCCAACTTGCTCTCGTGACTAGTGTTTCAGGGGCCCCTTCAGACAGAGAATCGTGCGATCTTTTCTGTTCTCGACCCGCAACTGCCGTGGCCCAGGCCTGCAGCGTGCCGGCCACGGAAAACCAGCAGGATGCGCCACGCACGCACACAGTCCCAGGTGTCCCCTGCTTCTCCTCCCCACCTCCTCTAATAAGCTGATGGCTCGCATTTTCATACAACTACACTTTTGCTGACTTCACCTAAACTCTGCATCAAGGCATCTGGGTGGACAAGACACTACGAAAACAGCTTCGGGGCGCCTGGGTGGCTCAGTCAGTTCAGTGACCCACTCTGGGTTTTGGCTTAGGTCATGGTCTCACAGTTCTTGGGATCGAGCCGCATCAGGCTCTGCACTGACAGCGTGGAGCCCGCTTGGGATTTTGTCTCCCTCTCTCTGCCCCTCCCCCATTCATGCTCACGTGCTCGCTTGCTCTCTCTCTCTCTCTCAAAAATAAACTTAAAAAAAAAATAGAGAATTTGATTGCATGCACCCCAAGGACAGCGTTGAGTGACCACAGAGGAGATCACGAAGGTCAGGGGAAAAGAGGCTTCCTTTCTTCCACAGTCTGATTTCCAAAGAATCTAGCATCACGATGTGGGTTCATGACATACTACCATTACGCTCCGTTAGCGGCCATCATTCAGGCATCCGTTGTCTTTAATAATATCCAACGATCTACCACCCAACGCAGTAACTGAAGTCCATCCCTGCGATCCTCCCTTGGCCCACAGCTCCCTGTCCTCCCCCAGAGGTAACAACCTCATTCTCCTGCCACACATAGTGTTCTCATACACACAGGTGCCAGGACAATATACCCTTGGGTTGCTTCTGACCTTCGTGAAAGGGTATTAGGCTGCTACATGACCTTCACATCTTGCTTTTTTCAATTTTGTGCATTAAAAAAAGGACAGGTGGTGTCAGATTGGGGGTAGGGAGCAGGCTCCCAAACCCTTCATCTTTCAGGCTCCTTTGCCTCACCTACTGCCAGTAACCTTGTTGAATTACTCAGACCTGGGTGGTCCTATGGAAAGTCACTGTGGATTGCTGGCCTGTGATGGCTTTCCAATCCGATGTACAGGTGATCATACCTGATGGGAAACCTCCCCTCATCACAGGACGGAAGGGAAAAATAACTAAAGAATGTGGCTTAGAGATTTTCTGTACTCTGCTGTATTGAGCAAGATATACCTGGCTGATAAATAACATAAAATTATTCCTTTTCAACTGTTTCTCAGGAATGGTAGTTCAGATGACAGTTGCAGAAACGAAAAGCGTCAAGTTATGTGAGACTATGCCACAACTGGATTCATTTTTGAATTGTTAGGGCAAGGAGAAAATCCTAAATGAAGTATGACTATAGCTCAGCGGAAAAGTGACTCGGAATAAATAACTTCATATTCTAGATGCTTCCTCCATGAGATATTTATCAATGTTATGAGTTACTAATTATGACTCATTATAATTATAACTCATTATAACTATATTTAGTTATAACTAAATATAACTCATTTATATAAAATAAGTGAAACAACCAGAAACCTCAAGACTAAAATAATTTGTCAGTAACTGTGCCCGTAGTTCTACCCCAAACACTACACTTTCTGTACACTCTCCTTTTGTTAGTGATGCTTAAGACACAAAAGATAAAGCATTTAATACGCGTAACTCTGTCTTTAACATAGGACGACGGACAGTTCCTAGAATTTCTGTAAGGATGTGGCTGATAAAACACTTCCCGGCAGTGCGACTATTTCGAGAAGACAGAATGAAGACGTGTGGCAGATCTGCGATGTGTGCAAACATGTGCAAGGGGACGGGCTTACTTCCGGACGAGACATGGTGCTCGCTCTGGACCAGACACAGCTTCTCGAGAAGCGAACTCCGGTGCCAGACCAGGGAGATGCGCAACCGATCGGATGTGCGAGGTGAGTGCCCTGGTCTCCAAACCAGTCGCCCCAACAAAAACTACCACGGCCCCAAACATGTGCTGCTACCCCGCCCCCCGCCCACGGTGGCAAGCAGCGGTTCACTCACGATATCCAGCCACTGGTGCACAGCCACGGCCACCTGCGTCCCCAGGGGCTTCGTCAGCACAAGCACGTCCCCCGGTACTGCGTTATCTGGCCTGGAGAAGAGAACAAGGCGCGTTCCAGTCAGGGGCACAGAAGAGACAGACGCACTATCAGCAGAACAGGAGCAAGAAGAGGCTGGTAAAAACTATCTGTGCTTACTTAAATTTAAGCGAAACACCATCAGCGGAGTAGAACCTTCCAACTTAGCGCTGAGGCTGCCGCTGGACCAGAAGCAATGGCAGAACTGAGGAGCATGCAATCACCCACAGGTCCCCCCCACCCCCGAGAAGTGTCTGAAGAAGCAAATCACTTAACCTTCAGCCCCGCTTGTGTGCGATTCTCAGCACAGACCCACCGTGGTTCTGGGGCAACCAGACTTCTGACACCAGGGCTGTTTTTCACAAGCACTTACGAGGTAGAGACGCAGTGGGATGTGGCTCAAATCTGCCAGTCTAACGTTTAGGCGATTTCAGCAAAGTTCTCAAACTCAGACTGTTCAACAGTAAGTTTCCTACCCGGGCCCAGACAGAATCCTTGGTTGTTCCTGGTCTGTTTTTGTTTTTTTTTAAATGTATAAACTTCTAAGTTTATCTAGAGAGTGAGAGCATACACACACATACACACACACACACACACACACACACACACACACACACACACACGTGAGAGATCGGGGGAGGGCCAGAGAGAGAGACCCCAGCAGGCTCTGTGCTGTCAGCATGGAACCCGATGCAGGGCTTAAACTCACAAACCGTGAGATCATGACCCGAGCTGAAATCAAGAGTCTGACGCATAACTGACTGAGCCACCCCAGCATCCCTGGCGGTTCCCTCTCAAAGAGGGAAGGCAAACACTGACAACACGAGGACCGACCCCCAGCCACACTCCTATTATGCTGCATCATCACTACAGCAGGCACCTGTGTCCTCCTGGTCACCCAGCTGCTCTATCCTCCGATGGCAGGTGACGCACTCCCTCACCCACGTCAATTACAACGTCCGGGGCACAGACTTCAAGTCAACAAATAACTCCCCGACTCATCCTATGTCTCTATCCGCTGTTAGGTTTGAAAAATGTTAACTCTATTAACAGTTTACAAGAAACTCATTTTCCAAAAACCAGACCTTAAGACATAAAAGTCTTCAGCTCTGACTCAACCACACCTTAATGCTTATACGGTCTTGCACATCACAGGTTATGTGTAACCCATAAAAATTACTATCAACAAGTTACATGCAATAAAACCGACGGGTTATTTTTAAGTTTACGGGCACTATCTTATGAAATATAATCATGTGTATACGCTCGTTCCTATTTTACAAGCTAAACGTACATACTGTTGACCAAAAAATACCCACCGAAGCTTGTTTTATTATTTTTCCTTTCTAATTGTTGCAACTGCTAAGTGCTTTTTCTACCAAAAAGCTGAAATGTGAGGCAGATAGACTTTCAGGGTCTTCTGTCCTCTCTATGTGGCAAGTTTGAGAACCGCCCACATAAAAGAGAGGAAAACAAAACTCTGATGTAAGAAAAAGGCAAGACCCTTCGCACGAAAGCTGTCAGATAATGTGTCTAAAAGGAGCTCCAAACAATCAAAAACCGGGCAAAAGACACGAATATATGAAAAACACGCTCAACTTTACTCTCGAAGTAAGGTTTAGGCCACCAAACTGACTGGCAAAGAACAAGAGGTCTGTTACCAACACGTGGTCTTCCCATTCGCTGCTGCCAGAGCCTCTCTGAAGGGCAGCCTGGAGACACCCAGTGCAGATACTCCGCACACACACTGGACCCAGCAATTCTACTATGAAATATTTCTTACCGAGAGCCACACTCACGCAAAATGATCGGTGTGTAAGGGTACGCACCGAAGTACTATTTATAATGTCAAAATAATTGAAAATAATCTAAATGTCCACAGTAAATTGGTTAAAAATTGGAAAAAGTGGGTGCCCAGTCCAGGAAGGGAAACTGGTGACAAGGAATGGGGGAGGGACTCTGCATTGTAGACCTTTCTGGATCTTTTGAATTCTGAACCGTGCGGACACGGTGCCTCATAGTATTTACTCATAAAAAAGGGTAAACGAATGGAGTTTCGAATCCTTCAGAAAATGGGACACGGTGGCTTTTCTTAATAAGACGTCAAACGTGAAAAGTTAACAACTTGTATCAAGAGAGAATCTTTCAAAAAGAGAGAGAAAGAGGGGCGCCTGGGTGGCTCAGTCGGTTAAGTGTCCGACTTTGGCCCAGGTCATGATCTCGCGGTTCGTGAGTTGGAGCCCATGATTCTATCTGTGCTGGACCTTCTCAACCTGAGGGCCTGTTTCGATTCTGGTGTCCCTCTCTCTCTGACCTCCCCCGCTCATGCTCTGTCCCTCTCTGTCTCAAAAATAAATAACAGCGTATGGGATGAGGTCGTTAAACGTCGATGTTCATGTCACGACAAGCTCCAGGTAGTCTTGGGTGTCGTCTTTGCCAGCCTCGGGCTCTGTGCTGACTGTCTCGAGCCTGGAGCCTCGTTTCCGAATTACTCATGTCTCCTCTCTCTCCTCTGCCCCTCATTCATAACTCTGTCTCTCTGTCCCAAAAAAATAACAACAAGAAAAAAAAATTTTTTTAAATAAAAAAAAAAATAAAAAAAATAAATAAACGTTAAGAAAAAACATTTTTTTAAAAGAGAGAGAAAGAGAGAAGGGGAGAGAATCTTTCCCAAGATCCAGAAAAGGCCAGAAAACACAGGAAAAGATGCTCGCATTATTAGCTACCGAGGAAATGCCCATTTCACTCAGGGCTGTGTCACCTCCCACCCGCTAGGACGGCTGCCATCAAACATGCAGACAAGAGCCAGGACTGGTGAGGACACACACGGACGTTCTCCCACGCTGCTGCTTTGGATGTCAAACGGTGCCACTGTTGGGAAAGCCGTGTGGCGGTTGCCCACGATACACAGTTACCACAGGACCCAGTAGTTCTTAGGTATATACCCGTGGGACAGGGAATGTACGTCCACACAAAAGTTCACAGCAACATCATTCGTTAACACATCCATCAACTGTGAACACACCAATGTCTAACATGGGCAAATTCACAAAACAGAAAGCACATTACTGGTTTCCAGGACGGGGGGGTGGGAGGGAACTGACAGTGACCACTAATAGATACAGGATTTCTTTTGGGGGCGATCAAAACGTTCTGGTATTGGACAGCAGTGATGGACGCACAACCTTGTGAATGTGAAAAACCAATGAAGTGCATACTTTAAAAAAGTTTAATTTTACGTGGTATGAAATTTTGTTAAATAAATTGTACCTTAATGAATAAAATCTAGGGGGTGCCTGGCTGGCTCAGTCACAAGAGTGAGTGACTCTTGATCTCAGGGTCGCGAGTTAGAGCCCCAGGTCGGGTGCAGAGATTACTTAAACAAATACGTATTTTAAAAAATCCAGAATTTTTAATAAACAGGAATAAGGCACTGATGCATGCTACAAAATGATGAACCCTAAAACCATCACGCTAATATTATGTGAAGTCACAGAAGGCAGAAGGGGAGCAGGGGGAATGTGACGGACATTGAAGGAGGGCGGGTTTCCAGCTGGGGTGACGGAACGTCCTAGATCAACTCTGGTGACGGATGCGTACCTCTGTGAATGTACCGAAGATCACTGTTTTGTGTACTCTAAATGTGTGGATTGTATGTGATGTGAATGAGCATCTCAACAAATCTTTGCCAAAAAATGAAAAAGGGGGAAGCAAGTCAGGAGACACGAAACAGAAATCAACTTACATGATAAACTCGTTGGGCTGGCAGACGGTGGTAGCCACTCCTCCCAAAACGATCCAGGGGTTTAACACTGTCTGGCCACCCGTCACAGACGTCCCTGCCTCCTCGGCCGCGTCTTTAAAACCCTGTATAATTAGGGGCATCACTTTATCCCTTTCCTACGGTTTAAAAGAACACAAATGAAAAGTCACATAATTCAGTTCAAAACACAGGAAAGAGAATCCACCCTTGTAGTTTTAACAAAAGACTGTAGGGGCACCTGCGTGGCTCAGTCAGTTAAGTGCCCGACTTCGGCTCAGGTCATGATTTCGTAGTTCCCAAGTGTGAGCTCCGCGTCGGGCTCTGTGCTGACAGCTCAGAGCGTGGAGCCTGTTCAGATTCTGTGTCTCCCTCTCTCTCTCTGCCCCTCCCCCGCTGCGCTCAGTCTGTCTCTCTCTCTCTCTCTCAAAAATAAATAAAAACATTAAAAAAAATTTTTTTACATAATAAAAGATTGTAAAGCCCTGAAGGAAGTCCTGGAAGCTTACAGATGGGGCAGGGAGTAACAGAAAGAAATACAGAACAGTTGACATTGTAACCATTTTATCAGAAGTTAGAAGTTGTTCTAGGTTACAATGTGAATGAAGCCCAGATAACAGAGAATTAAAAACTAGGATAGGACTGGATATACAGGTCTGCCCTAAACCTGAGCCAGCAACTTACATGGTTCCCACGAATTCCAACACTAGCTTAAAAAAAAAAAAATTCAATTAATTTAAAAAAAAAGAAAAAAAAAAAAAAAAAAAAAAAAAAAAAAAAAAAAAAGAACTCTAGAGCTGGCTTAATACGCATCCACATGCCCTTCTCCAGAGCCTGTTCAAGTCGTGACCCAAGCGCATGTTGTGGGGGCTTCACTGCAAATAGGCAGGGCAAGACTTCTTTTGGGGAACAAAAGTGATCTAAATGGAAATCCTCTCTGTGTCAACCAGCAGGCACTGGTGGCAAGGCCACACACACTGCCGAGTGAGCCATAAACACACACGACACCCATCTCTTCACCCTCCACATCAGCGACCCAAGCAGCAAGCAGAGGAAGGCGGCCAGCCTCCGTGCCACAAGCCGGGGGTCTGCAGGGCGGGCCCGGTCCACACGCCTGGCACGGAGGTGCTATTACTGTGGCCTAGACTTTATCAAACAAACATGACTGTCTTGGCTTCAGTCTACCTGGAAGAGAGAACGGGAAGCAGGTGGCGGAAACGAAAAGAAGAATAGGCCAGACTCTCTATTTTAATTCACCGACAGCTGCCAAAAACTAAACAGGGAGCCCGACAAGAGGAGGAAAGCTGCACTGCCTGGCCGCCTCGCTTTACAGACGAGGGACGCAGGGCGACCCGGTCAAGTGACGCCCCTGAGACAACAACACTACTTACCCTGTCCGTCATCTTATTACTGATTCCAAGGAGCATCAGCATATTGTCACATTCCGTGACCCCCATCGCGTAGAGGTCGCTGAGGACATTGGCACATGCTATCCTGCCCTGGAAGAGAGGGGAGGCATGAGCGAGGACAAGTAGGGGACTTTCCGTGTGTGCCTACAGGGCACGTCCCAGAACTCGGGGACTTTCCGGGGATGTGGTCCCCGTTTTCTGTGTCCTGCATTCAGTCACAGAACCACTAGGTCGTTCCTTCAGTCTTTCTCAGACATTCCTGCAGCAGTAATTTCCATGTTCGTTCCCGTTCTAAGATATTGGGAGAAATCTGCAATTTACGTAGATGGGGAATGGGGGTTGGGGGCACACGCTGGGGTGAGCGAGGCTGGAGCGGATGGTTCTGGGAAAAGAACTATAGAAGGAGAAAGTTTGAAAACAACAGTCCTAAAGCAACCTTGGAAACGGCCATGTATCCTAAACAGACGCTAAAAATATGTTGACTTTACTGGTTACAGAGAAGACGGTTTTTTATAATACAGGGAGGGAGAAATTTTGGTAGCTTCTTTTCAAGGCTCTAGAAGATAAACAGGAAAAACATCTTGGTTGAGAAATCAAAAAATAGAAGAGACAAAAAAAACCCAAAAAACAAAACAGAACAAAAACCATCCAAGCTCGAAGTCAGATTGTTTTCTAAAGAAAATAAAAAGTGTTTCCAGTGAGCTATATTATTTAATAAGGGACTTCAAAATGATTCAAAAGAAATGTGATAAGATTTTGTTCTTTTATCACCACTGGAGATTCATTAAAGAGAAGTCGTCGGGGCGCCTGGCTGGCTCAGTCAGTAGAGCATGCAACTCTTGATCTCAAAATTGTGAGTTTGATCCCCATGTTGGGTGTAGAGATGACTTAGAAATAAAACTAAAAATAAAATAAAATAACATAAATGCTAAGTTGTCACTTCTAGACAGTGAAGGAGAAAAATAACAAATTTTTCTTCTGATGTAAGGACAATCAAACCCCCAAGGATTATTTCCAGCAGCTGGTTCATGGCTTGTTGAGGTTTCCTTACAACTTCCTGGCCGATCAGCAGTGAGCTTAGAAGCAGCACTAGCCAGGGCCACAGGTGTTTTGCACCTTGGGGGTGTAGAGCTGCAGCAATTTTCTGTCCCTTCTGTCCTGGGCTCTCTCACGAGCTTTTAAGACATGCTGGATAAAGGATGGATTCCGGTTCTAGCACCTGTGCCTCTGGTGGCGCCTGGGGTGTGGTGCAGGTCAGGCTCAGGATTACTGCTCGAGAGAAGAGACATGCAGAGGCCAGACCAGGTTTCTAGTAAATTGTATGCGTGTCGCTGGCACCTGAGAGGTGGTCTTCCTCCTCCCCGCACTTAGCTGTCTCATGGCCTAGGTCCCTATGTGTGAGGCTTGATCCCAGCGCCCACGGCACACAGGGAGGACCATTTCCTAACAATGGGACGTTCCCAGTCGCTTCATCGGCTCCTTGTCTGGTAGGGTAGGGGGTTAAAGTTGGTTAGACCAAGGGGTTGCTGGCGTAACCGTGCACAGAACAAATGGAAAATATATCTAGGCAGGCCACGATCAGCAGCTAGAAACTTCAACGCAGCAGTTCGGACATGTATTCTACACAGTGGCAGCTAACACACCGAGGTGGATGGTGACCAGAATCAGAATGAATGGTCAAGAAGCTTAACTGTGGTGAGATGCTAAGCTGTTTACTTCCGGAAGGAAACATCTAGGATCAGTCCCGCTACAGAGTATGGTTAACACCTCTAAGCCTGAAACACAGGAGTGTGGAGTTGACAACGGTCAAAGAGAGAAAGAAAGAAGGAAACCACAAACATGTCAGTCAACACACATGCTGAGACAACAGGTGTTCGTGCAGACGTGCATCAGGTACAAGAGCAGCAGAGGGCTCACCGCGTCTGCTGTGACTGCCTTCCGCAAGGTACCAAGTGTGAGCAGGGCACAGATCCACTGGCTCCACGTGCAGAAGTCAGGGCAGGGCGGGACGAGAACAAGTTGGGTGTGACAAAAACAAAATCCCCAGCCACAGCCCCAAACCCGACCAACAAGCAGTCCCAGATGTAAAAACGCACCAGGGTCAAACTCACCATCATGTAAGGGTCATCGACGATAGGATAAATGTAATCCGTGGTCTGAACCAAAGAAAGACCGCCGTGCCTCAAAGGAATGACACAAGTATCCATTCCAATGCCTGCGAAGATGAAAGTTACCATCACCCCAAAGTCAAATGGAAAAGCCGCTTCATTTCCTACCACTGGTGTTGTGAAGACGAACAGTCGTGTGCACGACACTTAAGGAACAGTGCACCCTGCCAATAAAGCAGCATGTTTCCTATCAAGTAGCATTAACTGAAATAAACGTGAAACAGAACTAGCTTAAGATAGAAAGCGAGAATAAAATTCGTTAGTCATGAAGACTCAACTTCTACACGGTACAATTTTTAGACTCTAACGATGCTTCAAATGGAAATTTCCCCTTCATATTACTGTATCATGTGACTGGCACCACAGAGAATTTCCTTAAAGATGAGAAAGTGTAAGTGCAACTTGGGTTGTCTTATCTATAGGTGCTTTGTGAACCGATCTTCAGGCAATTATTCTATTTTCCCCAACAGAAAATCTGTAAAATCTTTTACACACATAAAAAAAAAAAGTTATGGGGCACCTGGGTGGCTCGGTCGGTTGAGCATCCAACTTTGGCTCAGGTCATGATTTCGTGGTTCGTGAGTTCGAGCCCCACATCAGGCCCGCTGCTGTCAACTTGTCACTGGAACAGGTATTCATATTCATTGCTTCCAGTCAAGCAAGTACATACTCTGTGGTACCTAGGTGATCTGTTACGTAGGTTCCCGGAAGCATTTTTTAAGAGGAAACTTTAACATTTCATGTTATTCCTCTTGTGGAAAACTTGTAAATGGCACCTTTACTAACTTACATTATGAACAGGGAAAAATACTTTGCTAAACAGGCCTGTAGGAAACATTTCAATTCATTAAGAATTGTTTCTAGGGGTTCTTTCCCGGTCTCTCTCAAAAAAAAAAAAAAAAAAAATTGTATCTAAATGTTTAGAAAGATAACATGGACAATTGATGATCTAATTAGAAATAATTCCCTTTTACTCAAATCAGTTTAGAAATGATGAAGACTGGGCTGCCGTAGGCTACCTTTCTTTGAAAATCACCTGTAATGCAGGTGTTCTCAAATTCAGACTGGCCTTCCCACCAAGTAAGCTGAATACCCAGTGCTTTCCTATGCGTCTCTCCAAAGGATGCCCTCCAGGCCTCTTGGGATTATTTCAACTTTGTGGTGAACAGCCGAAGGCAGAGAAAGAGGATGAAACAGCAAAGGACACAAGCGCACAGCAGGCACCCTTGCAATTCAGAATTCCAAATCAGAATCCAAACAGAAGGAGAAGTCCTGTCTGTATCAGGCTGAAGTGAACACACCAGTACCTTTCATGTTTTGCTTGAGCAACACTGCTGAGGCACAGCTAACCCAGATCCACAACAGCAAAATACCCAACAGAGGCCGACTCATAGGGCACCTTACTTCCCCTGGCCTTGACCCCTTATTACGAATGCAAAAACAAAATCAGGTTTAATAAAAAGTCACAGGCTCATCGAAGGCGGGCTGATTTTCTGCAAAGCAGAGTCTGGATGGCAAGTCTCACAGATCTGTGACAATGGAGCAGGCTGCCCAGGTAGTGAGTGATCCCCAGCGGGAGGTCAGACCCAGCAGGGAAATGCACGGAAATTCATCCCCGGCAATTTCACCCGAGGGCGGCTGTTGAGCAGGTAAGTGCCAAGGTGAAGAACCACAATTTAACTCATATTGAGTCTCCCTACATTGGTAATGCCAACCACAGGTTATTCTGAGAATGTTACTATTTGCTTTAGAAAAGAGTGAAACGCTGTTTTCTTCAGGGTTTTCATGTAAACTACAGGACTCCTGAAATAGACTGAATGCAGTTGCTGAATGTTAGCTTTCAATGTTTCTAATCTGGTTAATCCTAAATTTGAATTAAATAAATGTGAGGGACGCCTGGGTGGCTCAGTCGGTTGAGCATCATCTGACTCTGGCTCAGGTCATGGTCTGGTGGTTTGTGTGTTCGAGCCCGTGTCCTGCTCCCGTGCTGACAGCTAAGAGCCTGGAGCCTGCTTCGGATTCTGTCTCTCCCTCTCTCTCTCTCTGCTCCTCCCCTGCTCACGCTCTGTCTTTCTCACTCTCAAAAGTATATAAACATTAAAAAAAAAATAAATTAGAATCGTGAAGAACTTAATTTCTACTTATATGCTGCATCAGAGCATTCGGAGTGGTGACTCTTGAGCCTGTGTACCAAAAAGCCAACATTTCATTAGTAACGTTTCAGATCAACTATATTTACATGATGTTTTTTATATACAATGCATTAGGTTAAATCAAATATGTTAGAATTAATTTCTTCTGACGCTCTCTGTTTTAAAGATTCAGAAATTTGAAATTATACATGTGGCTCACATCACATTTCTTTTGGACAGCACCAGTCCGGTCCGTGGTGATTGGGGGAGAGAGGGACAGTCCAGGGAGAGGGCAAGCGGTAACAGAGGAAATTGCCACAGAGTGGAGGAAGCCTCAAATACCAGAATGAGCGGTGCAGATTTAATTGTCAGTGGATGCTGGAGAATTCTAAGCTCTCAGCAAGACTGAAGCCGTCAAGAAAAAATAACCCAATGATCACACCATCACCACCAGTGATGGTGATCAATACTCGATAGCTCGTAAGTACCAGGCAAGAAGCACCGATTTTAACATTTCTTTAGTTAGCATACATCTAAATAAACATGTGTACATTTAACAACTGTTACATCTTAGAACCCGGGAGGTAGGACACTCTAGCTTGGAAACAGATAGGGGTGCCTGGGTGGCTCAGTTGGATAAGCTACCGACTTCGGCTCAGGCATGATCTCACAGTCTGTGAGTTTGAGCCCCACATCAGGCTCTGTGCTGACAGATCGGAGCCTGGAGCCTGCTTCGGATTCTGTGTCTCCCTCTCCCTCACTCTTGCTCGTGCTCTCTCTCTCCTTCTCAAAAATAAACAAAACATTAACAAAAATTTAGAAACAGATACACACGGTACATATACACACACAAATAATTTCTGGTACTTCCAACAATTACAAACAGTTCATCTTACAGACTGGGAAACTGTCACTCAGAAGGGTAAGACAGTGCACAGATTACCAATAGTGACAAGTAAGTGACTGTTGTCAGGATACGAATCTACATCCAATTCCAAAGCAAAGTTGTTGCTATCTGGATATACCACTTCTGTACAAGGTTCTAACACTATGTTTTCTTCAGCGTCCCTTTGTTTGCAACCTGGGGTCCGTGTACCCCTAGAGAACACCATGAACGCTACATTTTGTGGGTGTGCATTTTTCTGGGAAAGGGTCACGGCTTCCAATGACTTCTCAAGAGCCCTGTGTGACTAGACTCCTTTGCTACCGTGTTCTGGTAACAGATTTTTCTACCTCTCCCCTTGCTGCTGACATCTGTCCCCAATGCCACTGCTAGGTTGCAAGTGGTGCAGCCCCTCTCCTCACTTCAAACACGCCGGTCTCAGAGACCCGAGGGCAAACAGTACGGTGGGCGGAGGAATCAGAGGACGAGGACTCCAGGTCCTGACCCTCACCGAGTGACACGGAATGACTTACTCGACCCTCGCCGGCATCACGGGGCTGAGGGAAGGAGCGAATGATGTGACCCATTTTCAAAATGCTTCACCGCGCACGGCATGCTCAGCGAGGTCCACAGGGAAGTCAGAAAGAGGCATTACTACTTTACACGTAAGGTTTTTATTGCATCTCCTTTTGCCCATTTGGCAGCGTCCTTCTCTCGACCACGTTATCTGACAGCTTTCTCGGTATATTCTTGTTGCCTGACAAGTACGTCGACAGCCAATCCAGCTCACTCCCGTGGTATTTCTCCCGGCTTCCACACCAGCTAGACGACAGTGGTTTTTGCACTGAACTCCTTCCTGGGAGCCAGCCCCGAGGCCCCTAGAGTGTGGGGTGTGAGTTTTCCTGTCTCCCCACCAAAGCAGCTCGGCTTTGATATATTCTTTGGGGAAGAAAGGAGGATCTCGGGTTGGAGGACAGAACTACACAATAAGACAACGGGTGAAAGTAAACGAAATGAAAGCCTTCTGTAAGAAAGCTGATCAAGTCGAGTACCACGACTACCAAGCCCCCAAACTCCTGGAATACATGCCAAACACTCAACAGGCAAAGCGATCACGGTGTTTCGCCACGTCCTTAGCGCACCACATGATAAAAGCTAACAATTTCCAACAGCCTAGAATTTCTTTCTGTGTTTGGGAAGAGGCAAACCACTAAAAAAGGAATTTAGTAAAGAAGGAAAACCACGCTCTCGATGCCAGATCACGTCCCAGGGTCAAGCACAGCTTCAGTCTTCTCCCTCCTCCCCACAGGAGCTCGGCAAACAGTGCATATTGCAAAGGAACCCCAATTCCTCCCCAACCCAGTCACTGCCCCCAAAGCACCGCACGATGACGCACAGACACACCTTTCTTTCCTAAGGCAGAGAAGAGAACGCAGGCATTTTAAGGAAAGTTTTAGGACAGAGGCATAAAGGAGTTTCTGCTTAACCCTCAGCTAACTACAAAATTCGATTTAGCAAGAAACACTTTCACTGTAACAGAATTGTCTCAATTGCATACTTAATAGCTTAAAAAAATGGCTACAGCACATTCCTTGATGCTTTTCAAGTATTTCCTCCAAATAAGCTACAATAATGTCATAGCTATCACTGCTTTGCTCTTTGGATCCTTGCAGAAATTAGATTTAAAAAAAAAAGAAGAAGAAGGCAACATGGGAGGACAGAAATTTGGCTTTTGACCCACTGACTACAACTGCAGCCAAGACGCTGTACTTGGGGAAGTATAAAGGGAAGAAGGGCTCACGTACCAAGTCTTGGCATCACTGCTCCCAGAAATTGCTCATCTTCTTGGAAGTGGTTCTCTTGTAAGGATTCCAGCAGTTTCTGCAGGACATCTTGGGGCACTTTGCAGCCAGTGCCCTTGAGTTCAGTGAATCTGGTTAGCCGGAAGCTCTTGTCCAATTCATAACTTTCCGGGTTAAAGGACTCCCGCGTAGACATGGTTCTTGGGCACACACACCTCACAGCTGGGCTCCTCCCCTCCCGCTCCTAGCCTCCTGGTTTCTTTACAGATCCACCTAGGCATCACCAAAACACAAAGACACCATTACAAGAATGCTCACCAGTATTTTGCTAAGAATCAAGTGAATACAAGACGGTGCCGAGCATGGAAAGAGTTGAAATCATCCAGACCAGGGATATGCCGATTTGAGGCCACAACAGTTCATTATAGTGATGCAGAAGCCCAAAGAACTCATTTAAGAAGGTGACTGTACCATCAGACATCTTCCAGGGAAGGTCTGAGGTCTGTGTTGCTCTAACTGTGGCTCTGACGGGCAGCCAGGACGCCTCCCCTGAAGAAGGCACTACGGGCCAGCTGGCACATGACACAAGGCCATCTTGAGCAGTAAGTCTCATAGGCTCTTCTGGCGGCCAACATCATGAGAAAACTTCTAGTCACTTCATCTGTCAGCCTAGAAGCACTACGGTTTAGAAATCAAGAAGTCTTGGCTAAAGTGACTTTTCTAGAAAACCTTTTAACATCTTCTGCTGTCCCCCACAGAAAAATAAAATGCCCATTAGACACGCTGCAGGAAAAGGATGCTGACGGAAACGCATTTGATGAAATCCTTCGTGATGCTCGATTCACTTTTAGAAAAAAGCATGTTTTCATTCTGAGCCAGAAGGACAACGTGATCCAAAACTAAGGAAGCCTCACTAAAGAACAGAACTTGAAAGAAAAGTGGAACAGCTGTTTAACACACCAAGATTAATTTTCTCCAAGAGAGCAGTGGAAAGTTTTCTAACGTTTTAATGCAGTGCTCTTTCCTAGAAAGCAAACATCCCACCCAACGAACCAGTACCCACACATCATTGAGAAAATATGCTTGCTCCTGGTCGTTACCACTTGGTTGCAGAACTAAAATGAAAAAAATCACACTGTACGAAATCCCTAGCATTAACGTACTTGGTACCACTGGAAGTTTCTAGAGCAAGCCCTTCTAAGTCTGAAGTCTCAGAGGTGCAACCAGAATCTTACATGCACTCCCAAGGTTTATGAACCTCCAGATTGATACTTTACTGGGCATAGAATTACAGACACCCCAAATTTCAGGGTCAGTTTCCCCTATAAAATTTACGATGAAGAACATGATTCCCATTTATAGAGTTTCCTATCCCCTGGCAACCACATCACTTATTTAAAATTAATCTCCCTCTCTCACACACAAAACAAATAAATAAAATAAATCTCAGAAAGCCTGAGTTTGGGCGGTAATCCAACCTGTCTTTACAAAAACATCTTTAGGGTGAGCAATCATTTCAGTTTGAAACGTACAACAGAACAGGAGTAAATCTTCAAATACTCCAAGAAAACAACCCATCCAAGAGAAGGGTGGCAGGAGAGCAAAGGAAATTACCTAGAGGGGAATTCTGAAGCCATTTTAGAGTTAGGAAAAGTCCAATAGCACTTTGACTTGCTAGAGTTTGGAACAAAACAGTCCTTTCCTCACAAAACGCCTCGCATTTAACACCGCCTCACTCCTACCAGGAGGAAAAAAAAAATCCAACTCACGAGGCATCGAGTTATTTTCTTACCTCCAAGCCTAACCCCCACCCCCCAAAAAAGAGGCGGGGAACTGGGGGGACTAACCATCTTTCAAACATAACTTCTACCTTCCCTGATTTTTAAGAAGAAAAATGTCTAAAACACCTTAAGTCCAAAAGCACTGTGAAGTTTTAAAATTCCAAATGGAACGAGGGATACACATCACACTCACATCCAAACCTTGCAAACTTACAGGTTTTGGAGGGTGGGTGTGAGAAAACGGGGGGTGGGGGGAGATGTGCTCGGGGAAATCGTAACTAATGGGGGGGAGTAAATTTGCATAATAAGAGAGCTTCAACTCCAACCCCAAAGCTGCATGTTTACACCTTTAAAACAATGATATGAATATTTAAAGACAACGGTTAACCCTTTCCTTCTCGGCCACCTTTTTTTTTTTTTTT